GTCAAAAGCTGATAAATCAACCTAGTTGAAAATTAATATTTTTCAAAGAATTATTTACTTTTTCAACATTTGTGGTTAATCTAGAGTGACATTCTGTCTATCATTGTTAATAACCTTTGTGGAAGAATTTATTGTACAATTTAAGAACTAGTAAAAATATTTGATTATTATTTTTTCATGCGATAAAATCATAGGCGCAAGTATGTGGGGCTTTTACACTAGCCAAAATACTTTGGTACTTTGCACCCCCAAATAGTTTTCATTATTCATATAAAGTTTTTTTTTTTTAAATAAATCCTTATATTATTGTATAAATAATTACTGTAACTTTTAAACTTTGTCATTTAATTACGTGATTATTCTAATGAATGTCCGTAATTTTATGAAAAAAATTCCTGATTAATAATTAAGGAACAAGACCATTAAAAATTTGGAAGTGCTTATGTCCCAGTAATATATTTTTTTTTATTATGCACTATGCATCGCATTTGACACCGGCGTCACTTATTTTAATATTATGAATGTCATCGGCATGTGTATTTTACTTTAGTCATTCACACATGATATATTACACATTTCAACCATAATTATTTTAGTGGAATTACTACAGTGATAGGAATATATGTAAATAACGTTGTACATAATTATTTATTTATAAATAGATAAAAAATGGTTGGGTACATTAATTTTTATAGTCTTTGGAACTTAAGCACCCCATAGTTCAAAATACCATTTAGTTTTAAAATCAATAATTGGTGTAATGAACTAATATCATACTATAAACATGTTTGACGTCCTCTTTAAACTCCATAGCTTGAGTCGAATACCTACATAGCCTAACACATCGGAATCGAACCTCAGTACCGATCCACAGAGCATGACGTGTTACCGACTGAACTAGGTAGGCTGCTTAGCTTATAATGTAATTGGATTTCATTAACTTCAAACTTTAGAAACTCGGATGAGATTCTTAAACAATATTTTTATATTGAAGGTTGTAAATCAATCATTCAAAATTCGTAACTTATAATGTAAAATACAAGAAAAATAATAACTTTTTTCGGAAATTATTAATCGTTATTCAAATTTTATTAGACACATTGTCCGTAGCTCTTGATCAAGTTTTACGCAATTGTTTTTTCTTTAAAAATTTAAATATCAATAAGTTGTTGTAATAAGCAATGCTCTCAAGAATAAAGTATCAACATTTTAATGCCATATAGGATGCACGCTATTTAAATTGATATTAAGTTTAACATTATCAAAGCTGGACAAGTTAACACATTTTAGTTAAAGTTTAGTTAATTGTATCTAGAAAATATATTTAATTTTATATTTACGTTGTTGTAATGTAATTAAATTTAATACGTTATTCGGGTAAAAAAAGTTGAATTAGTAGCTGTACTCAGTTAAAAAGTAACGAGTAATCTAATTAAATTTTGTCTTTTAAACGTTATCAATAATGTTCAAATCGTAATTTTTAGGTAAATTTAACGATTATAGACTATAATTAATAATAAGATATTACTAGTGATTTTCAAACAATAAGTAGAATATGTAATAAATATAATTTATTTTAGAATAAAAAAGTTAACATGATGTGATTTCTCTAATGTGATGAGCATTACACAAGTATATAAAGTAGTACACAAGTACAAAAGCTGTACTCTTATTTCGAGATGCTTACTGGGTTTTATTGGTGTCTTATGTGGTAAATGTAATCTCGTTAAATTTGTTAGTTAAAAGATAACACGTTCAGTAAATAAAAACAAAACATTTGTAACCATGAAATTATTTTTTACCATCGTAAATGATTAATAAAAATGTGGTCTATTTATTTTTCTCGTGTAAGAAATTAATTGTTCTCGAAAATGTTATTTACTAGATTAATTTACGTATATTTTCTTGTGTATTTATAAAGAAAAATGAAATGTGTAGTTTTTTGACCCATCTGGGAGTGCTTTCCTTTGGGAACTGATTTCGTAATATGAGAGAGTAATATCAAACGGCTGACAAGAACATAAAGAATGACCCAACTCCTGTGTTGCTCAAAAAGTGCACTGAATCTTGCTGATGAACCAAACAGACCGTTTTGACTCTCCTGTGAATAAATGAATACAACATGGATCTTCGGCCGTTCGTCGCTCTTTATTTATCGAGCTCGGTTAAGTTTTCTTTCGGGTCGACCGCCAACTGTGCCGGCGGACGGCCATAAGCAATCTCGGAGCATTCGCATTGTCTATGTGGTTCGCAGTACACACAGAATAAAAGGAACAATAAAAGGTGTCGGCACTCGAAACGATTTTAAATACTATTGTCGTTCGCCCAGCGGCATCGCTGCCGTATGAATTGAAATCGAGTTACTTAATGTCAAAAATGAAAAACACTTAGTTATTGTAGCGGAATGGAAACGGATAATAGAAAAGCGAATTAATTTTTCGCCGGCGTTTCAAAAGCACCGATCGTGATTATTACAGCGTTTGAGAAAAACGGTAAACGTCTGGCGTGTCCACCAAAGGACGTGTATTGCTTGCCAAAATTCAAAACAACGTCGACTTAATGGTGTTAAAATATATTCTGGAAGGCGTCGGCACAGAAATTCTCATTTCGAAATCATTTGAGAAGTATTAAAATAATAATATCGCAGTTAACCTAATAATGTTGTTGCGACGAGAGCGTATACGACCGGATTATTCGCGTTGTTCCGCGGAGGCGTCGCACTGTCGCGAACAATGCGGTGGGCGCGCGGGGAGTGGTCGCGGCGGTTGGGCGGTGAGGGGGTCCGTCCGCAAAACTCGAAACCGATTTTTCGCGGGAAGCACGCGGTGCCGTGTGCCGTTTTGGCGGCGCTTTTAACGGTTTTCCCCGCGCCGTATAAGGACAATTACCTTGACGTCAAACAGTCTCTTGTAAGATAATTTAATTGAGTAGTTTTCCGACAGTCTATTGTATAGTTATTTTTGGCGCTTAGAAGTGTGTGTTGCCTTTTTGTACATACCGTTTATTTTGTAGTTTTATTTTTCGTTGCTTCGCGCCCGTAACAATATTTTAACGTCTCACATTAAAATATGATCTTTTTTTTATTGCAATTCGTCTTTTATAATAATCAAATATATTGATCATTATTTGCGCGAATCAGTTGAGATGAAAGTCTATTGGCTTTTAATATGCACCATAACGGTTTTGTGATGTATAAGATTATGTTTATGATCAAATCTCTTAGCGATAGCTTATAATAGTCATTTTCGTTATTGCTACTTAGATTTAGCGTGTCAAAGTTTTCACATCCGTTACAAACTAATTTATTTGTTTGCAGTAAACTCGGTAGAATTCATTTTACATGTGAATACGTCTGTCGCCAAAGTTTGTCTAAATGCTTTGTCACAATATAAACAAGAAGTAAAAGTGAGTTAAAGTTTTCAGTCAAGTTGAAGCGAGTTTGATTAATTTTTGAAGTATGAAGTATGTTTAAATCAATTTATACAGTCGTAGATGTAAAAATCGATGGAAAAATACCTTCCTGTCGAGATATTTCTATATCATACTCGTGATAGTTTGATATTTGAATTGTTATAAAGCTATTTTTTTATAGCAAAAAAAAATCTTGTTCTTTGTATTAAGTTTATTATTGTATAATATAACATAAATTCAAGATCGATCAGATAATTTTTTATTTTAATGTTTACTTTTTAATATAGTTACATTCTATTTAATAGATTTAACTATTTAATATTTGTATAATATAATTCAAAACTACTTAAAATTAGATTATTAAAAACAAAAAAATTATGTATAGCATCCAAACTAACGACAGAATAAGTAAAAACAACTTTAACTGTTTCATTGGGACGAATTCGAAATTTCATGTGTGGTCCATACTTATTATAATATACTTGTTTTCTATTTTGTATATTGAACTCACAAGTATTCCGATAAAACATTAACGCTATATGCTTGTGAACGCTTAATAAATATTTATCGTTTCTAACAGTATAAGTCCAAGTAAAATGAATATACTCTTTTTATCCATTGGAATTTTATTAATAAAGTAAAGAACGTGCAATACCAAAAGTTGCCTAGAAGTAATAAATTCTCATAGGAATCTACATTAATTAATTTGAATTTTTGTGGATAGAATAATAAAAAGACGAAATTTCAATTTACTTATTATACGACGAGTGACAGTAAAAATTTTTGTCTGTTTATTGTTGACTATATTTTATAAAATTTAAACCATCTCACCAAGTATTAATTTTTACAGCTACTCAATGTCATTACAATTCACATTATCGACTTTGTTTTTGTCAAACTTATCGCCGAAAGGGAATTCAATGTAAATTTGCCAATTTTGTTGAATAAATCCACAGACGTTGATGTATAATTTATGTGCCTCCAGCCAGTGACGCTTGTTAAGGATTGAGAATTATTTTGGTCATAAATTATACTTAATAAACGTTCAACATATTAAATTTGAATGATTTATGCGAGGTTCATTTATGAGTCCAAAACACCAAAGTTTTTAATTGTCACTTTTTAACGTTGAATTCCATAATCAACATTAACATTCGACATCATATTGCTTTATTTCTATAGTAACGCTTACTGATACACACGCGATTAAAAAAAAACGTTTATGCATTTTTGAAATAATAAATACACAATTTGTACAGTTACACACGACTGCAGAGTAAATAAATTGTTAAATATAATAATAATTAATTATTATAATTTGTAAACATAATCACAATTTATAAAAGAAAGCGCATAGTTTAAAAGTATATGTCTAAAAATGTTACAATATTCAAGTTTTAATGTGACTGAGTGCAGCAAACGTCTTTAAAATTTGTAGAAATTCAGGCGGTGTCTTTGTAACTTAATATTTATTTTTATTTATTAAAAGATGTTTGGTATATTGTAAAATAAAAATAATTTTATCATCCAATATATATATATATATATTATATTATTATTTGTTACATATGATTTATTTATATTTACAGACCAACGATGATTTGGAATCGGTATCGAGTCGCTTTCAAGATACGCCATTTCATTATCCGACAACTCCATCGGTCATATCAAGTAGTGCGTTTACAACGCCAACAAAACACCATAATTCCATCAATAAACTAAACTTGATCCAATCCCATGTGAGTTATTCCACTTAATATATGACATATTATTGTTGTAAGGCTTTTACGTGGTAGTATTGAGATATTAATAGACTCATTGGTCAAAGATTTCTATATTTTATATTTAGAACAATTAATTATGATTCAACGAGTAATATCTGGCAGTAATTTTACAAATATATAGTTTTGCAACTGTCAAACTAATTAATTATGTAAGAATCGATTACAAGTGAACAAATAGTTTTATAAATTAATCTTTTTTTTTAGTCGATTGGTGCATTTATTTTTTTTTGAGGTAATAAAAAACATTATTGCATCAAGAAAGCTAATTATTTTTTTAACTCAAGAATGATAAAATTTAAAAAAAATGAATTAACTACAGCCCATTCATTTGTTTCTAATTAAATATTCATTAATCGGCGTATAAAGAAATCCAGGAACACCCGCAGAGAAAATTTCTTAAAAAGTGCAAAAATGACTGTCGACAGTTTAAACTTGAAAGCAATTCCCTATAACCTAATGGGCTAGAAAAACGATACCCCCATTCGAAATTCATGCAACAACCTAATTTTTTGCTGAACATAATGCTTTTAAAAGGATTATAACCAAGAAAAAAGTCATTAAAAAGAATATGTATTATAAAATTTTATTTAAATTTAAATAGATCGTCCAATGCTCACCTGAAAATATGCTTTATTTGCATGCCTGCTTCATGACTAATTACGGCCTAATATAAATCAATATACCAATAACATAACACCTCACGTATTAGAAAATTAATAACTTTATTATTAATATTATTAACTACTTGGAATAAGCCTAGAAATAAACAGACAATAGATTTTACTTCCACTATTCGTTTACCATATAAAGCTGACCTGTCTCCCCAAATAACGCTTCTGGTATTTAGAATTTTGTTGGTAGCAGATGATTCAGAATCTAAATTAAATTAATAATAACTTAAATGCATATTAATAGATTTTGTACCTAGGATTAAATGTTTCACATTAGTCTCGTTAGTGACACGAAAAACGGTGCAATGGCACCTCTAACTCCCTTACGTGCGTCATTGGAAGCACCTCATAATATTATTACTTAAATACTGTTATGATTATTTTTCAGTAAAATAAAATTGCTCTATTTGTAAAAAAATTTTACTTAATGTAAAGCGCGGGTCTGTTTTGTTATTTCTGGACATTAATGAACCGCACTACCTCTTCCATGTTATAAAAATGATAACATCTTTTATAATAAGAGCTCAAAAGTTGTTAGCCACCAGTTCTTTTTTTAGATTGATAATTTTCTAAATCGTAAGTTGCTCCATTTAAAACACTAAAATTCATACAATTTTAAGAAAGAAAGGGGAAGAATATGATAGACGGCCGTATTTAAGGGGAAAGTGATAGGGGCAATCGTCTTCGCTATGACTTACACTATCAATATTTTTTAAAGCTTATATTTATAAATTGTAACATTTTTTTTTAGTCATTATTTTGTTTTTTAGTAAAAAACTTTTAGCATGCTTAACAAAGAAAAAAAATTAAACTCACCCTTAAAATGAATTCTAAATACTCTCTTTGGAGATGTTTTGTGAAAATTGTAGAAGAAGAAAACTATTAACTTCTAAAAAGAAAAATATATTTTTTCTTTAAAGATATTGTGTGAGGTAAACAATATTATAGTTAAACAATCACTCTATATATAGATTTCCTAAAATTTTATAGAGGCTACTTTTAACACTGAAGGGCCAAACCCATCCAAGTCTCCTAATTTGACTTATGAATCCAATATTTCACATAATTTTTTTTAAGCTAGTACAAATGTTTAAAAGTATTTTAATTAAACTAAAGTATACATATTAGATAATATTTTTATAATGGCTCCTAAAATATACAAAAGTTTAAATAACCAATGTATTTAAAAAAAAAAAATACTTAGATTATGCTTAATTCACATCTAAATAAATTTAAAGATAATGTGAGCTGATTTCATAACAAATATTTTTATTAATAGTGTATGTTGGTTACAATATATTTTATTATACCTCACAGATAATATTGATTTGAAATGAAAGGAAGGAAAATTTTTTATTTTTTTTTTTAATGAAAACTACTATAGTTAGTTATGTAAAAAGTTATGTGATATCATACTTTGTATATAGTTATACAAAATGAATCGGTGTATATGAGAAGCGTATGCAGTAGTAGTTGTTCATTTTTAATATTTATAATGTTTAGTTGCGATATTTTGTCATCAAAGTTTTTTTATACGAGAAATTAGGGCCAATAGTTATTTAACTGGAATATTTTCAAAAATTAAGTTAAAAACATTGAATTTTGTGAAAAAGTTGCTATTTTTAATCCCACCCTTTGTGCAAGTAAAGGGTCACTGTTTGGAAAAAAATTATATCAAATGAAAGGGAAATACCAAATGTTACAATATAAAAAAAATGATTTTAATTCGTTAATTTTTCAACAATTTATGGAAATATTAAGAAAAAAACGGTAGCACAATGGGATCGTGGCATAGTGTGGACGTGGCATAGTTGGGACAAGTATAGATGATATCTAACAGTAATTAAAATCACTATCATAAGAAACGCTTCGATGCAACTTTGTAGATAATGTTTCATTCTAAGAAATTGGTGGATAAGTACAAAAGCAACATCAACTCTTATTTCCTTAATTATATCCTGATTAGAGTGGTTCTTTGATTTAAAAATATAATATATGAATATATACTAATTATAGTAATTAAATTTAGTATGACATTGATATTCAATTATTTAATCTTGTAATTTATACGGATAAATGATAAAAATAATAAAGTAGTTGTATATTTCTTTACTTTAACGGGTATAAAAATATAAAGGGCTTGATAATAAAATTAAATTTATTAAATTTAATATTTAAATAATTAAAACAAAAAGGATTGTTTTTAAATTATTACAGATTTTGATTTTTAATATGCAAAAAATAATTAGTGTGAAATGTCATTTCAACCTATTTTTTTGTCCTTTAAAATTGTTTTTGTGAAAGTTAATAATAAAAATAGTTGAATTTGTAATCATAACTTTTAACACAACTTGCAAGTTTGAAATTGACATCATTAAATAGAAAATTTTAAGAGAATTAAACAAATATTATTGTAAACATTAATATGTAGTCAGTAAACTTTATAATTACTATTAAGTAAATTATACAGTAAATTTATTAGAAAAAATCAACATTTGTTTGTATTTTTATCGAAAATATAGGCCAAGTGAAAGCTAAGCAAATAAATGACAGTTACAAAAAAAACCATATAGTAAAATAATTTTAATATGAATAAGAAATTTCTTATAGTCACTCAAAAAGAAAAATTAAAAGTAAAATTAAAATAGAAGAAGAGAATGTGTATATGAGTGACTATTTGTTTTTAATAATGATATTTCTCGGGTATGAGTACCAGGGTTTATGAGAATCGTGAAGAGGTAATAGAAAGACATAGTGATCAATTAGTGATCACTTAATCTTTCTTTGTTCCTACTTCAACCATGCACTTAAAGATATAAATTTTTAAACCTTATTAATTTGTATCTACCTTGATGTTCTTGGGAAATTATTAAAAAATGAATAAAGTCGTCTTGTTTACTTGAAATAAACTTAAACACGACTGTTCACTTCTTGTACATGAATTACTCAATTGAGATCAATGAACTGCGTGAATATTGATAGAACTGAGAGCATGCATAGATCAAGGAAGAATGAGACATGGGAGTATACTACCGGAACACTGAGAGCATGCCGAGAGTATACTGCCCCCGTTTAAGCTTTTTTTAGTCCATTTTATATTTATATTTTGTTAAATTTTATAGTTATATACATATGCAAGAAGTGTCAGAAACGCTATTGTTATCTCTTTATTAAATTGATTTTATAATTTACTACGTGTTATCTTAAAAATTAAAATACAATTCTTGACAATAATTAATTATTTTACTATAATATTGACGTATCTATGACAATTTATGTGTATTTTATTATTTATATGAAAGTTTTAGACATTTTATATGTTTATTGCTTAACAAATAATAGTGTTGATGTTACCAATATGTAACAGTATGACAATTTTTACTTGACAAATAGTTATAATGAAATCATAGTTTGTTGTTTAGATAAGAATTGTAATGAGAGGTCAATGTATCATAACATTCTTCTCATGAGGAGAGACTACAGTGATGAGATCCTTGATCATTATTGAAGTTATTGAATCTAAACGAGATAAAAATCAAATGAGTTAAAATATTTTTCTAGTTCAAAAAAAATTAAGAAAAAATACAAAAAATGTCTTGCCACAGGCGGGAGTTGGACCTTGTACTCCTAACGTGGTATATACAAATGTTATCGACTCGGCAACTGTACGTTGCATTCGTAGTTCGAAAAAATGACAATGTAAGCTATTTCAAATTACAAAGTTATTTTTATCGACTTCAAAGAAGTAAAAAAATTTAAATAAGTTTAACTTTCTATACATTGTCAATTNTTAAAGCTTATGCAATATCCTTTATTTCAAAAAAAATTTTGACCTACGGACTTCATGATGAAAATAGTTGTATTCAAAAATATGCTGTATTTGTGTTACAATTCTGGGTTTTGTATTTTATTTTATTTTAAAATACCTTTCAAGGGGAATACACAGATTTTCATAAATATTATATACAGGGTGTTCAGTAAGTCAGGAAACGGGTATCTATTGTTCTCATTGTTACAAACAATGAGAACAATAGATACCCGTTTCCTGACTTACTGAACACCCTGTATATAATATTTATGAAAATCTGTGTATTCCCCTTGAAAGGTATTTTAAAATAAAATAAAATACAAAACCCAGAATTGTAACACAAATACAGCATATTTTTGAATACAACTATTTTCATCATGAAGTCCGTAGGTCAAAATTTTTTTTGAAATAAAGGATATTGCATAAGCTTTAATTTAAGATATATAAAAGTTTCAGTATTCCCGGAATATTTTTAA